CTGACAGGTCCGTAATTTCCTTCATACATGAACCTTTTCACTGAGTTTGTTTCTGTGACAAAAGGTCTATAATCTGCCGCACCACTTCTACTTCACCCTTGTCATTCCAGAAAATCAGGCATTGATGGAGCGATGAGGGTATGTAGCGACTTCCGTGTATCCAATCCCTTCCTAATAACACATTGTAACTAGTAGGACCATCTACTACGAAGAAGACTGTGGTCCTAGTAGTTGTCCCCACAGTTATGTCCAATGGCATAACCCCTTTAGTTGAAGTTGCTCCTCCATTAAAACTTGTAAGGATGACTTCTGTTGGAATCATATCACTTTCCATCTTTGCAAATTTCCTCATCATCCTAGATGGAATGGTGTTTATAGCTGCTCCATTGTCGATAAGTACTTTCGCCACAAGTATACCGTTAACTAAAACCTTAACGTACAATGGCCTCAAGTGTTTAGTTAACTTCATGGCTGGTCTCTTAAAAATAACCTTTTCGGCAACATCTATTTCCACTTCGTGCTTGTTCTCTGTTGAATTATCCTTTTGTGATAAGTCAACATGTAGTATGTCGCACTGAGCTTTCGCTTCCTGAATTTCCTTTTTATTGTTTTCTAATGCTTCTTCTTCGGTTACTCAACCTGTGGGAGGAGGCAATATTCTTGGAGGTGACCCATACTTTTCAAAGCGAGGTACTCTCCTTTTTTTCTTGGGTGTCCCATACAACACATAATAATCAAAAGAACGCCCAGATGGTTCTCCCAACAAATTCACTTCACGAACACCTTCTCTATGTAGTTGCTTCAACAGGGTATTGCACGATACTCCTCTCTGTCTTCTTTCTGCTTCCAGATTAATTTCCTCTTCGATGTCCGTCATACCATCATCCTCTTCATCATTGTAGGCCCCTCTAGAAGTTTGGCTTTCTTCACATTCCAGCACACATGTTTCTTCTTCGTTATCCTCCCTTTCTTCTTCTTCTTCTTTCTCTTTGATCTTGAACTCTTGGCTAGTAAATAGTTATTAACCGTGACAGGAGGTAACGTACCGAACTGAATAGTAAGGGGCTGATCTGGATCTTCTTCATTCGTTCTATCTCGCTCAAACTTCGATCTCCCAGAAGAATTCTCTGGCAATTCTTCGATCGACTTATCTGTACCAGTCTTTTCACTGTCTTCGAGAACATTTTGATTGGCTACCTTGAGTAGTTTAGGCACCTTAGGACGTGGCGCTCCCTGTTGTTGCCTCATCATTCATCCATAATTTCGTTGAAAACGCCTTTGTTGGGTTCTAGTTATCTCGTTGAAAGGTATCACCCTTCCTGCATTATACTGGAACGAATGCCATACATTTGGTTGGTGAGGTTGCGGCTTGAATGTTCTCCCATTATTTATTGACCTGAACTGCTTCTCAAAAGGCAATCCCCTATAGAATGATGTACCTCCCCCTCTAATAGGCTGAGTGTTTGGGAAAAAACTAGGGCGATGGTGGTGCTGCCATATCCCTGGTTTCTCTGTATTTGCACTTACTTCTCCTTTACATCTTGCACACATGACGTCTTCATTCTTTTTAAGCTCCTTCCCTTTGACACGTTCAAAGACACTGGGGTGTGGCCGAGGGTCCTCCTCTCCGTCGTCTATAACCAACTTGAATTTTGGCAACTTTTTTTGAAACCAGTCGTCATCATGTTTACCCCAAGTGGCCGTGGAAAAAGGGTTTTCATCTACTGCCATCTTCTTCTTATCCTCAAACGTAATTCGTCCTGATTCAATGGCGTCCTGCAACACATGGCGAAAAATCAAATAGTTGTTAGTCAAATGTGACCATGCATTAAACCACTTACAATATTTTTTACCTTTGATTTGTTCAGGGCTTGACAACTTATGTTTATCGCTCAGCTTTATCTGCTTATCCTTGTATAGTTTATCAAATATAAGGTCAACTTTGGTTACATCAAACGAGAACGTTCTAGCCTTTTTGTTTTCATCTTTTATAGGCTCATCTTTACCCGACGATCTAGGCTTAGCCGTTATAGGACAAGTATATGCATCTCCTTTGATTAATTCGACCAAACACATTTCGGTTTGATCGTAATACTTGTCATCAATGGTATGAACATCAAAATTTGGGTCTCTATAATAAGTCCCCTTGCTAGAATTTTTTATTTGCTCTTCTTCTCTTATTAATCGTTCATACCTAATCACGTTTGCGCTCAATTGGAAAAGATCAGGAAATTCCCTGTCTTGAAATATCTTTTTCAAATCAAAACTTAGACAACTTTGAGCGATTTTGACAAACTCCTTTTCGGGCAAAGGTACAAAACATTTAATTTTTGTTGTCTTAAACCTTTGAAGGAAACCTTCTGCCCATTCGTTTGGCATTTGACGTAGATTCACCAAATCGGCCAAAGTAACTTCAGACTCAGTCTTATAAAACTGAGTATGGAACAATTGCTCCAATTGTTACCATGTTTGAATAGAGTTCGCTGGCAAATTGATGAACCAGGAGAAAGCTACTCCTGTTAATGAACTAGGGAACAACCTCATTTTATGGTAGTCGGTTACTTCACCACTTTGTAGTGTGAATCGCCCTATGTGTTCTAGAGTAGACATCTCTCCTAAACCGGTAAATAATGAGAATTTTGGCACTTTATACCCTCTAGGCCATAAATATGCTTGGTCTACCCAATCAGGATATGACTTTGTGTAAGTCGGCCTAATGACAGGACGAATCCCAAAAGCCATTTGATCCTGTACTATTTCCATAATTTGATTTTTCAACATGACATTGGGGTCATATGGAATTCCTACAGGTTGGTTGATCGGTTGATTTGCCTGAGGCCTGATGTTTGGTCCTTGGTTGGCAACAAAGTTGCCATGATTTGGGCCATTGTTACTATTAGCCTGAATATTTATTCCATCATTAACACGTGGGGTGTTCTGTCCATTATTTAGGACATTGTCTCTTACATTTATGTTACCCCCCAAGTTAGATGTACCATTACCACTATTCCGATTTGGCATTACACCATCCCCTGGTTTGAAGTAGACGAACTAAAAGGTGGTTCTATCCCTTGATTTGGACTTAGGACTGGGGAATTATGTCCTACAATTGTCCTACCTTGAAAGTGACTTGCAATAGGCACAACTGGTTGACAAATTTGGCCTACTAACTTATTCATTATTTCATTTAATGTATTCAGTTGTTTGGCCATGTTGTCATAATGTGCATTCTCATTCTGGGTAAATCTTTCCATATTATGAACATTTCGTAGATTTATCTGTTCAACGACATCTTGTGTGAGTTCTCCAAGCAATGTACGCATGGTTCGAGGACTCAACTCTATCATTGGTTCGTAACGACTGTGACTGCTTTGACTCTGTTCCTCTATTTGTGAAGAGCTTTGCTGCTCCTCATATCGCTCGATCACAGACTGGACTCCTCCCTGACTTGCTGCTTCCTTATCAGATTTGAGAGGCATATTGTTTCACTTTTTATATCCTCAACACCAAACACCAAGGTCCCACTGAGTGTGCCAAATTTTTTCGTGCGAGTAGTAGCTAACAATTAAAAAAGGGGTTAGACGATTGTGTAAGGAACAGATCTCTTGAGACAAAGTCCCAAAAAGGGGTGTTTTATAGGCGATGATTTACAATTGGAAATAAATAGAATGCCTCCAAGGGGCGCAAGCACACGAGTATTAAAAGAAGTGTTTAAATTTAAGCTAAGATATTAAAATTACATATTCTCTGTTTGAGAGTGTTTGATTCAGGTCTCTATTCTATGTCTTCTCTTCCTTTTTATATTCCCTTGATGACTTCCCCATGACAAACTGCTTGGAAACTGCTTGATTGTTTTATAACTACCCACTTTCTTTATGGTGGCTAACTTATCGTGGAACTGCCGTCTCTAACTGCTGCCATTACTCTTTGTCGTTCAACCGCCTTCAACTGGACTCCTTGAATCGTGCAATGTGATAAGATTACTCAATAACTGTTTTAAAAATTTTTATTTTGGACAACCATAATATTTTATATTTGCTAAGATCCTGAGCGATTCGAAGGTTTGGGCGAGAACGGGGTCATCGCTATGGACGACCGTAAGGCACTCCATTCGCTCAGATTCTGGGCATCTTGCAAGCTTGGACGATGATGTCACTGTGTTCGTGGGCTTCCAATGCATTTATCAATAATCCTATTTGGACCTTTATCTTGGACTCCCCAATTGGGCTTCACTCTTTGGGTTATTTGATTTGGGCTGCACTTTTAGTGTGTCAACACATACATATAATTGTGACCTTTGAATGAATTTTTTTTTTATCAATATAGTGATTTCATTGATGGGAATTGTATTTGAGAGATAGCTATGGCGGGATTCTTTTCAAGTTGGAGATTCTGCTGATATTACAATTTATTTGTTATATCATATTAATTACAAGACCGTAACCATTTTACTTGTAAGTCTATATATGTATAAACGTTCTTTTATTTGTTTTATAGGTTTTTATTGCACTATCACAATAGGAAACCCTAGCCTCCTTTATTTACTTCACCAATTTTCGTTCTTGTCCAATTGAATGAACTAAATTTAAATAAGAATTATGTTAATCAGCGTTGATATCGGACCAAAAGTTTAACTCCATTCAAGTATGAAAACACTTCTGGATGCTCGGGTTCGCAATTTAATATTTTTAAGAAAATCAACATTCATAAAAATATTCAACAAGATTATAGTGGCGGGGCCTTTTTCATTTTCATATAGATTTTTGTAGGTAATCGAAGCATTGAGGGCCATAGCGAGATCGCAGCACCCTAAAACTCCATTCAAGTAAAAGAAGGCTTGGATCTGAGAATCTTTTATGATATACGGTTGAGATGTTTCCTTTACAACGCAGCGATGATTTGGTCTTTCAGCCCCCTTCTGTTTTAAAACGAGATCAAATCCTGCAAGATCTGTCTATGAATCATACTTTAACGAAAAATAGTAATCATAGTACTAGCAGATGGGAAAAGGGAGGGCAGAGATCATTAGGTATTCAAGAAATAAGGATGGGAGTACTTCTGATGGATCCAATATTCAGAAACTTATTCACAAAGATCTAGAAAGACAAAGAAGGCAAGAAATGGCTAATCTCTATGCTTCTCTTCGATCAATTGTTCCTGTTGAATATCTAAAGGTGAATTCATTATTAATCATGCTGGACCTCTTAAGGATTTAATTGCTTTATGTCCTAGTAGATCCAATAATAATTATGCAGTCAACTCCAAATTTATCGATAAAAGGACTTAATTTAATTTTACAAATACAGATCTAACATGATATTCGTGGTGTTTTAGGGTAAGAAGACCATATCAGATCATATGCAACGGACTATAAATTACATAACAGATATGCAAAAGAATATCAGAAAATTATGTTTTCAGCGAGACAAACTAAAGAAGTTGTCAAATTCAGGCAACGTTAGCAACAACGGTGAAAGTTCCACTAGTTTTTCGCATAGTTTAGTCACAGTGAACCCCTGCTGGGATGGTGCAGAAATTCTGATCAGTAGCAGCTTAAAAGAGGAAGGTGTTCCCCATCTCAAGAGTTCTTGTGGAATTACTTGAGAGAGGGCTTAATGTTGTTAGCTGTGTTTCTACAAAAGCAAATGAAATGTCACTCCATATAATTCTGTTGGAATTGGTTCAAAAATTAACCGAAAATTGGTTAAGTGTAAAATTGGGAAAATCAAAAGGTGTGACTTCGTGTCAACTTCAATTGAATATTCGGACTTGATCCGATGGTCAAATTATAAAAGTAAATCGACCAACTTATTCTTCTTGTCGAGTAGATCATCGTGGTATATTTGAAATCTCGAAACCAATTCCGAATGAATGAGAAATTGCGGTCCAAAGTTGGAAGAATGAAGTGTTGCAACTTTTCGAAAGGATGCAGGTTTGAAATGAAGTGTTGCAACTTTTCATGAAAAATGCTGGATTTGGGGTGTGTCCCTTCACCCACAACACTTCATCTTCTATATATAGGACCCCTTGAATGTGTATTTGTCATTCCAATTCATTCCATAATTCCATATTATTCATTTTATGTTAAGTTACATAAAACACTTTGTAGAAGTGATTATCTTTTATATCAAAATCATTGTTATGGTAGAGAGGGAATTCCGTTCGAGTTCATTGATCGAAGCCATTTGGAGTGCTCCTATGGCTTTACGTGGTCGTTGTATCTTGAGAGATGATTGTCGAAAAATCGTTAGCACCGATGCGGGGCAAATTCATCTTAAGGAAAGAGTTATACTCGTCTCGGCCAATCGCATCACTTGCATCTAATTTTTTCTTATTTTTGATTTTATTTCTTCATACTTGATTTCAGAAAATGATTAATTTTATTTATATGATTTATGCAAGGTTCGATAAGAAGAATCACATGTTTTAATTTAAGAATGAGAATAGTAAGATTCAATAATCATTGGTTAGTTTCTCAAACTACATTTCGGTAAGTCGAAACCTTCTTTCGATTTCATGAATGTGTGAGTTACGTTTTGTGAATATAATATGCACATCTGAATCGCTGTATTCCCCAACAATATTAAGATGAAATTTCTTATGCATATTTTATTTTATTTGCAATCGAAATCAAAATACTGCATCAATAAAATCATAAGATAGAATTTTGACATTTCATGATTCTGGTAAATGTGTTCTATTACAACATTTTAATTAGAGATTCATGTGTAATGAATATGTATATTATAACAGAATCAATAGTAATTCTATAACTTGGAATCATTCATTTATGTATTGAATTCATTACAATATATTTCAAGTTGATTTGTGGACAAACAATCTGATATTATTCAATCCTACACCATATAATGTAGATTCTGGTTTTAACCCATTAGAAGAAATTCTAATATTCATAGATTAGAGTGAAAAATCTCAAATTGGTGCACCAGATTATATGATAATTAGTTGTGAAATTCATAATACATATAATATTCATGAACCGGTGCATACATGTTTGTGTATTGTATTTGTTGGAAGTCTCATCTATGAGTTTTTTTTGTTGGCACTCTTTTAATCCAAAGAGTATCTATATTAAAAGATAATTTGTGTCAGAAGTTGCCTAAGAAATTTTGATTGGGAAGGTTGGTAAAATCTTGTTAACTGTTTGTAAACAAATAGTATGCATGATATATGGAAAAATGTATCTTTCCAAATTAAAAATATTTTTTAATTTCTGAAATAAAAGTTAAATTGCACATGGACATTGTGAATTTTATATACTAACCATTGCGTTCCTTCATGTTTAAACTGCTTCAATTCAAAGTTATCAAGAAATAAATTTACTAAACCTGTGAAAGATGCATGTTGGGATAATTTTAATTGTTCAAAGCATGTTGGCTTTGGCTTTGTCAAAATTTAATAATGCTGAAATTTATAGTTTGTGCAGAATTCCTTACTTTTAGTTTATAATTATGTCATCCCAACAACTTTTGTTCTCTCACTATGGCAAATCATTATGCGTTTGAATATATTACTTGCATGAGAAGGGATATTTTAACTGATAAATATGTCAATAACGGTAATGACATGAATATGCATTTATTTTAAATAGGCAACTTTGTTGGGTATCTATATGATAATCACGTGAAGTAGATTAGTGCATTCATTTGATGAATCCATACAAGCGTTTGGATTTTGGATAGACCTTTTTGGTTAAAATGGTCTTGTTGGTTAAATTTTTATATCTTGTTGAAATTATACTAATTTTGATTAATGTTGATAGCCTCATTCAATCCTATGGAATTAAGTGAGATGATTTAAGTGGATATAATTATTTAGTTATGAGAATTAAGCCACTTAATTATTTGAAATATTCTACGATCAATTTAGATGAAAAGGTGCATCCTTTCATATGAATAATCATGACTTTTGGTATGATTATTTTTCAATGGGTGTGTCTCTTCATAGAGATTAATTCAAGAGGTGTTTCCTTTTGTAGGGTTGTGTCTCTTGAAGAACACAACTTTTCAACATATGGTTGATTCATTCGTTCAAGTTTGAATATGATGAATAAGGTGAATATGTACCTTATTATTTGACATAAAATGAAACTATCATGTGAAATGTCACAAATGTGATAAGTTGCATCTCTTGCAATGCTCAGCCCTCTTTATTATTGAATTTAACTTCAATCATGGAACCAATTAAATTGGTATATGTTTTGAAAGTATTGTTGGTCCATATGATGGTCTTGATTTAATTTGGATGATCAAATTAAAATAATTGGATTGATGTACGTTATATGCAACTTTAATTGAAATAAATTGTGAGTCAACGACCACTACTTTGATGGTATTTAGACTTTCACGAAGCACTTGATATGGATATTATCTAAAAGATAAATAAATTGAACTATGAAAGAGTTGCTAAACCCTAAGTTCAATTGTAACCCAAAGATGTGAGGGATTATCATAAATGCTCGTGAAGTCGAATGAAAAGTTTAAAACTTATGGATGCAACGTTACTAGATTGCATATGTATTTCTAATTGAGGAATTGTAGGGGTAACTCAGTTTAACAGTTACGTTTGCTTCTATTTTATAATCACAGAACGATATCTATGACGGTAGAAATAAAACTCTTATACTAATTATAAGGATGATATATACTAAGTTTAAAGTGGATGAAATGGGTTGTAAAGCAGATTATGACGTTTGTTTAGACATACAAGAACAATTGGAATATATGAAGAATATTCACAAAGTTTGAATACATTGTAATGTTTCAATGATGATATTGAATCCCATAACTCTGAAATTCACTAGTAAACATGGTTGACTAGTGCAATAATTAGATAGAAATCCTCTAACAGTGTTGTTTCGAAATTGATAAAGCTTTAGATAAAGCTAATAAGAAGCATGTAGCTTCATGAAAGGATTTCTTGGTGGTGACAATTTGTATCTATTAAATGAAATCGATCGTTTGCTAGCAATAATTGATAAGATACTAAGTCACATGCAATGGTAGGTCTAGATGTATAATCATAGACATAATACCATGAAGCAGCTGATCTTAATGGTGTAAACTCGTGGTACCTTTAAGAGATTTACCGAGAGATTAAGTATACTGCATATCGAAAGGGATTGAAGCCTACTACGTTAGAGTCCTTGTAATGGTAACCCTACCTTGTTGACTAGAGATCCCAAGATCTTGGTTCAAATGGACAACTAAGTTATGAGAATTTCATGAAGCACTAAGAAAAATAGTTTCCTAACTCATTCCTATGATATTTAAGTGCTTTCTGTAGAGTTGTAAGAGGTTAAGATAATCTTTTAATGATTCCTATATCTTGATTAAGTCAAGTGGAGTAGGACAGAATATTCTTAATATGAGGTCGCCTACGTAAGTGTGAAGTGGGGCCGCTTTAATGAGAATTATTCAAGACTTAAATTCTCTAAGCACTTGTAGAACCAAGAGGGTTCAGGTCCAAAATGAACCAAGTCATGAGAACCATGAACGGTTTAGGGAAGACATTGTGTGATTATCGTTGTCTTGACTTACACTAAAGGCTAAATAGTTCAAGACATTACGTTCACCAATTAGCCGAGTAAGTCTGATGGTATTTCATTACGGGAGGTTCAAGGCCAGAAGCTACTATCCCCGATGCAGTGACTTTCGGCTCTTTCTCTACTTGCATCACATCATAGCATTACATTTGCATACTCGAATTTCCATTCATGTGGGGGATTGTTGGAATTGGTTCAAAAATTAACCGAAAATTGGTTAAGTGTAAAACTGGGAAAATGAAAAGGTGTGACTTCATGTCAACTTCAGTCGAATGTCCGGACTTGATCCGATGGTCAAATTACAAAAGTAAATAGACCAACTTATTATACTTGTCGAGTAGATCGTCGTGGTATATTTGAAATCTCGAAACCAATTCCGGATGAATAAGAAATTATGGTCCGAAGTTGGAAGAATGAAGTGTTGCAACTTTTCAAAAGGATGCAGGTTTAAAATGAAGTGTTGCAACTTTTCAAAATGAAGTGTTGTAACTTTCCATAAAAATGTTGGATTTGGGTTGTGTCCTTTCACCCACAACCCTTCATCTCCTATATATAGGACCCTCTGGATATGTATTTGTCATTCCAATTCATTCCATAATTTCATATTATTCATTTCATGTTAAGTTACATAAAATACTTTGTACAAGTGATTATCTTTTGCATCAAAATCACTTTTATGGTAGAGAGGGAATTCCATTCGAGTTCGTTGGTCGAAGCCATTTGGAGTGCTCTCATGGCTTGACATGGTCGTTGAATCTTGAGAGATGATTGTCGAAAAATCGTTAGCATCGATGTGGGGTAAATTCATCTTAAGGAAAGAGTTATACTCGCCTCGACCAATCGCATCACTTGCATCTAATTTTTTCTTATTTCTGATTTCATTTCTTCATACTTGATTTCAAAAAATGATTAATTTTATTTATATGATTTATGCAAGGTTCAATAAGAAGAATCACATGCTTTATTTCAAGAATGGAAATAGTCAGATTCAATAATCAATTGGTTAGTTTCTCAAACTACATTTCGGTAAGTCAAAAAC